GCTCAGTTCCTTGCGATGGAATTGAATAAAAACTTGGATTAAAAGGTCAACTTTAAAATATGCATAATAAATTCACTGACTAAAAGCTATCCCAACAACTTTCTGCATCATTTCTCTTCATCTCATTATTCATGTAGGCTTTCCTGAATTTTAAGGAGTGCAAATAAAAGAGCAGAGTGCAGGGAGCATTGGGGCCCAGGAAGTTCATTTCATGAATAAGGAACTAAAGTTATGGTGAATGGTATTTGTTAAATTAATGAAGTTGACATAGTGGAGAATTGATGGGTGCTTGAGTATTTTCTGTAGTACAAAAACAGTAAAACTTTATTTTATTGTAAGAAATCCCTTACTCTCTTTCCTTTTATATATTGGTCCCATAGCCATAGTATTGAAAGCCTCATTATTTTTAAAATTCCATAATCTATAATACAAAAATTATTGGGGTTATTCAGCAAGTTGTGGTGGGACAAAGCATGGAAATTTCTATAGAAATGAGGTGAGTGGAGTGTCACAATATTACATAGAAATCTTTTTCATGAAATCTGTAAGTGCTGAGTAACTATTTGTTAATAAAAGTGATATTAAAATAAGTTTTTTATAACAATATTTGTACCCACAGAATATGAGATAATAAAAATATAAGTTTTTTTAGATAAGATAGGGTTTTTTTGGATAACAAACTAATTCTTTTGTGGCTTTAGTGATTTTTCAAAAGTTAGGTTAACAGTGAAATTCATTTACTCAGTAGAGAACACTGAATCAAAGTCATAAATAATGAAGTTTAGTGTGGGTAATTCAGTTGGAGACAACATACCATTTCTTTTTTTATGGTTTTAGACTCCTCAGGCTAATTTCATATGCATGTTAAAGGTTTCATTTGTGGAACAAGTAGATTTAAACACAAATGAAGAAAATATCAGAATTGAATGTCATGGTTTCAAAGTATTTGAAAATAACGTGTATTCTTGTCTGTATTCCACTTCAACTCATGACAGCCATGGTTGGGCCTTGAACCTCCAAATCTGGAAATTGCTCCAGCTACACGACTTCTAACTCTGAAAATTTTCTGTTAACCTCTTATTCTTTCATTTTTCCTGTTTATCAGTTCCTTTGACTATCGGACTAACCCAGTATTACATATCTCAGACGTCTTTGTTCTCCGGGACCAACTGTGGGTCTGTTGTGAGAAATTTCTTCTCAACTATGCGTGATCTCGGGGCCCTGTTTATGTTTTCCAAGTTATTGGCAGGGATGGAATTAGTTTTCATTTTGCTGTGTACGAAGTCCTTGCTTTCAGGGGTGGAGTGAAGTACAGAGGGAACACGTCCTTGGATCTGTTTACTCACCCATTACCTGTGGAGAAGAGCCATGTGGCCGGGCCCTCTTTCTGAGTGTGACCAGAGCTGTTTCGTGTACAGTGGTAAAGTCGCACGTTGGCTCTGAGCCTCCAGGGATGCCGAGCCAATAGAGAATAATTGATCACGGCTGCCTGGAGAGCGGTTTTGAGATGGATTTTGAGGCTCAGGCTGGGGCTCATCAGAAAAGAAAATTATGATTGATAAGTGAAATCTGCCGTGGGCAAGCAAGGCCACACTTGCACTGCAGGTGCTGGAATCTTCCGGTCTGTGTACACTGACTCCCTGGGAATGGCTTGACCTTGCGGCTTCAATGTTAATCCCCGCAGGCATAAGGATCATTTATTTTATTCTGAATAGAATGCACTAGATATAATTTAAATAGTGTAATGCCCTCCTTCCCATTTCCTAATGGAGTTGTATTGACTTTTTTATTCCCAAATAGGATCACATTCAGCCTGCTGTCATTGCAGGCTTTTCCTCTTAACAGCATAAAATAAAAACTCTTATTAGGAAATAAAGACCGTGAGACAAAGACTGAGCAGGAGTAGAAACAATGTTGTGTGTGTGTGACCTTAAGTTATGAGGCAAACAAGTTGAAATCTTGCTCAAATATGCTGCCAGCTTTTAATAATTCATTTAAATAATTTAAATTCCAAAATCTATTATTAAAATGCTTTCATGATGGAATATCTTAATCCTTTGCTAAAGATTTTTTATAATTATACTATTTATGAAAGAAGCGTATGCTCAATGCAGATCACTTGCATATACACATACAAAAAAAATTTTTTTTAAGTACCTTTATGCATTTTCTTCTTTAGGTGTTTTTTAAAATCTAGAATATATTTACGGATGTTTTTCAATTTAGAATAAAAGTGTTACAGAAACGTGCAGTGTATGTGTGTGTGTGTGTGTGTGTGTGTGTGTGTGTCTATAGACTAGGTCACAAGGTAAGATGTATTTCCAGTGGGTCATGACAAATAGAGTTTGAAAGTCACCATTCAGACCATACCCCTTTTATAATCACAGAGCCTTAGCGGGGAGAGAATAGTTTCTTACCCCTGACTGACTTGGCAGATGTCATCAGTCTTAATCATGCCAAAGCCGTGTGCTGCTTTATTTCAATAGTTCAAATACTGTTGAAGCAAGGTCTGCTCCAGACACATGAAACATGATGGAAAATGCGTTCCACACATACAGAAGCCTGACACGAAAGCTCGAGCATTTACCTTAATCAATGCCTGGGCTCTGTCTTCTCCTCTTTGCTCCGAGCCATTCTCTGTAACTGGTGAGGGAACCTGGTCCCTATCCTAAGAGAAAACTACGCCCAGAGAAGGAGTGAGGATGTTCTACTCTGCCAGCCCCACGCCTCCTCCAGTCCCGTGTCCTCCGATCACACATGTACACTTATCACGTGTCATGGTCACTTGTGTCCCCCCCTCCAAACCCAGGTTCCAATAGCTGCAGCGACTTTCAGACTTTCCTCCTGCCTGAGGAGAAGGGTGATCATAGCGTGTTTTCACTAATCGGTGATTTAGGTCGCCAGATGCCATTTTGGAGCGACAGTCACTAGATTGATATAAGCTATAAATCCGGCCCATGGAATGAAGAAACTGATTGAACTCAAAAGGGCCAAGGGTCACAGATTACTGTCCCGGCAGGGCCTAACTTGCAATTTTTCTTTTATGGCTGCGAGCTGGCGGTGGGGATCTGAACTGAGCAGGAGCGAGAGAAGAGGGACACGCTGGTGGGCTTAGGTAGTTCACGGGGTGCACCTGAGAGCTCCCCATCTGCAGACTCATGTTGTTATTACAAAAATAATTAGTGGATATATGATATATCCACTAAATGATATAGTGGGTGGCACATAAAGAGAAAAACTTACTTAGATAGTTTTTAAAAAATGGGAAGGGGTAAAATACAGTTGTCCCTTGGCATCCACAGGGGATTGGTTCCTGGACCTCATCTCCCCCTGCAGATACCAAAAATGCACGGATGGGAGGCTCAGGGCCCTGAAAGAAAATGGCATAGTGTTTGTATAAAACCTAGACACACCCTCTCCTATACTTTAAATGATCTCTAGATTACTTATAAAACCCAATACAATGCAAATGGTATGTAACTAATTGTTATATTGTTTAGGGAATAATGACAAGGAAAAAAGTCAGTACATGTTCAGTACAAATGCAACCAACCATCCTTTTTTTCCCCCAAAAAAACTTTATTTTTTGATTTATTTATTTATTTTTTCCTCCTCAATGTTGGCTAAGCTTCAGCAAACTATATTCTTTTTTGATAAGTATCCATTGGATTAACACTGGTATGATTTTCAGAGTAACCAGGATATACATGCCTTGGTAGTAAAATTTTAAAATAAGAGACATATTTCTTTTATATGATATGAATATATTTCTAGTAATGAATATATAACTAGTCTTCAGAAACTGAAGAAGGAAACACAGCTGAGCCTCAACTTGCGGTGAAGTGGAAAGTAATAAAAATGCTGAGCATGCCACGGCCACTTTAGCCAGCCTTCCTTTCATTCTCTGATGACAACCTGAGCCTCACACTGTTGTAGCACCAAGAAGAAAACAGATGCTGGTCACTTGCCTTACAGCAACTTGGGGATCTGTGCACGCAAAACATGTTGGACAGGCTTTCCTTAACTCGCGGTTTGTATGGCAGTGGTTGGTTTAGTAGATAAGACAGAAAAGGGTGGAAAGAGGATAGAAGACGGTCTCATTATAAAAGAAAGGCGAGTATATTTGGATGCACCAGGTGGTTCAGGCTGGAGAAGTCAGTACTTGATCATATTACCCGCCTTCCAGCCACCAAGTGTCAGTATTTAGAATTTGAGTGTGGGAAGGAACTTGGATATAATCAACTCAACTCCTTCCATTTTACAGCTAAGGAAAAGGGTCCAGGCAGACTGGGATGAGAAGACAGGCTTCAAACCTAGGCTCCTTAGTATGTGACATTCATTTATCCCCGCAAACTCACTTTTTGGCAATCTGAATAAACTTATGGTCTATGAACCAATATTTTTTGAGTCGGAAGTATGTCAGAAACAATTTAATTTTTATGTTAAGTCTCCTTTGCAAAAATTTTCCAGTCTAGGTTGTAATGATGATGACCAAAGCTTAGGGTATATTTACTTTTCAGTTTGCGGGTTAACACGTCAGTAGAGCTTCATGAATTATCATTTATCTTCCACATCATTTCTCTTTTCACTTACAGCATATATGACTGTTTTAAAATATAACAATTAAGTCAATAATGCTTAATTTATTTTTAAAAGACAATACCAAAGACAGAAAGAAGGCCAGAGTGAAATGGTGCAGTTCTAACATACCAATCTGGAAAGATTTTTTTTTTTCCCAGTAAAAGGAAATATATAGGCATCTCATGTTGTTAGGCATTTAAGGATGTGCTAGGCTCCAAGAGGAACCTCAACAGAGTTTTCTCTGCTTCAAATGAAAAACAATTTTCTGGGACAAATAGAATGATTAATAACATAAGAGCAATCAGTACTGAATTTTATAGTGGAATGATCCCCATTAGCTTTCCAACTGAATGTAACACTGCTTATTTGCTTTCTTAACACATAATTTTCCAATTACTGTAAAGCTGAGATCTGTCTTGTATCATGTAAGATCTTAAAACTAGTGGGCTTCCTATGGAAAGGTTTAGATTCCTGCAAACCCAGGTGAGCTGTGCCTGTTGGGCAATGAATTGCTGGCAGGTGAGGTAAGGCAGAGGCACCGCGGATGCTGGTCGGTTGGTTAGGTTTTGATGGCCATGGTCCAGACGAGCGGGTGGTCAGTCTCCACGGTCACTACGCCGGACCCGTCGTAGGTATTGGAGGTACTGACCACTGTTCCAAACCCAAGCACATCATTTGCTGCAAGAAAATAAGAAAAAAAATAATTAGTAATTAGTAATTATTAGTATTATTAGTAATTAGTATTAGTAATTAGTAATTTCCAGTAGGGGCTGACTTTATCAATAGTTATCAAAAAGCAATTAAGCACGTACTTTTGACAGAAGATATATAAAAGTGGGATAGGTGAAATGTATGATGTAGGACTTTAAACCCAAAAGTTCCTATAACTTGGTATAACCATTCTTCTTGGAATTGGTTATTTACCATTTTGGGTTGTATACCATTCTCAATACTAAATGCCATTAAAGTTTTTTCTTTTTTTTTTCCTTACCAATTGTAAAAGCTAGACCTGTATCTATAATGTGCTACTTAATTCCTTGCCTGGATATAATTTTAATTTTTCTTAATGCAGAATTAACATTTTATATAAGTCATTAGACTCTGTAAAGATGCAGTTTTAGCTTCAAGTGTAATTATCTGAAAAAACATGGGATTTTGGTCATTTTGTTTCCTCCTAAAGTAAGAAGAGTCAAAGTGAATATGGCTTATGTCCTATGAAATTAATAGGAGCTAAAAGGTCAAAGCAGCTTTCCAATGTGTAATCTTGAGCAAGTCACTTAAGCTAAGTTGTCATATAAGGACAAGAGATAATCCTTTACTACTAACTTATCAAAGTAAAAGACTTAAGAGTTATGTAATTAGAATTTATATATTTATAAATTTTACAAGTATATATTTGTATTTTGTAACAAGTTAATGTCTAGGCAAAGATTGGTAACTTCATTCCTCTTGGCTTATACAGGAGCAGTTTACTTCATCAACATGGCTGTGAACTCGTAACTGACCTAGAAACACCCCCAGATAATATTATCTTCTCTGCTAAAATTCAAAGAGAAAATAAAACAAGTTGTAGAGCCAGAACTGTCAGTCAGGCGAGGCCCCTTTTCCTTCCAACAAGGCCTGACTGCGAAGTTGCACACGGCTTTGGGGGAAATAATTCAGTTACGGTGCTTGAGTCCCACCAGAGGGAGCCTGCTCTTCCCAGAAAATCTGGAAAAGGCAATTTACAAATTCAGAAATGAGCTTACAGGATGACGTATAATCACTATTCCCAGTTCACACAGTTCATTAAAACTCAAATTGTTTATTTTTCATGGTTTTCTATGTCTTTACTAATGCAAACACAAGGTTATAAAGTAAAACTCTGCAGGAAAACAGTGAACCTCGTGTGAACGTTACTCTAACATGTAATTCAGTATAAGACGCTCTTGCCTCTTAAGTAACTTGGGACTTCTATGAGATGGTGATGTACACCTAAACATTTACAGATCTGGACACTGTGCCATGGGTGGTGGACTCATGGGATTCATAGCAAAGTCAACCTGGAACCTCTGTTGACAGATCTGGACACTGTGCCATGGGTGGTGGACTCATGGGATTCATAGCAAAGTCAACCTGGAACCTCTGTTGGAGAAAGAAGTCTTGACTCTCCTGAAGGGCGGTTTTGTTTGGAATCAGGGTGCTCGCCAAGTGGCTTCCTGAGACCTAGGGTTTCCCAATAGTCAAGGGACTCACTTTGAATATTTCACACTATCTTTAATCGTAAAAGCAGTTTAGGGAGGTCTCAGTAGGCCTGCCGGTTTTAAAGTAGAAATCCCCTACTGAAGAACCACGTATGCACAACCCACCTGAATCCAACACGTGCGTTTTAAGATTCTAGAAACAGACTGGATTGAAATCCTAGTTTTTACGTAGGCTCAAAGGACAAGAGCACAAAAACTGTTCCTGTGGTTTATAGCTGCATATAAATTTCTTTCTGATTTTTTTCCGAAGGCAGCCTACGGACTTTATCAGGGGTGGCTACTCTCATTATACATATTGGGTTTTCTAAGACATTGTTGCATTCTAATTACTTTCAAATGGAAACAAGAAAGCATATTAGGGCCTAAGAAGATGCAATTTGTGTGTGTGTGGGTGCAGGAAATATTTGTTTGAGGTAAGCAAGGCCACTATTAGCCATACTTATAAATTATGTTTTTATTTTATAAAGTCATTTAAAGTCATAAAGACCAGTCATTAAAGTTACAAATAATTAAAGGCAATAATTAAATGCTTTTGATTACCTCCAACTTTATCAAAAGCACAATGAAAATGATAGGAAAGTAAGATGAATAAGTTGAAACACAAAATCATAAATTTCAATTTACTGTGTCATTTCAATTATTTTGAAATATATTTTCTTCAAGTCAAAGAATCAGGCTTTTGGACAAAACCTTAAAGCAGGCGTCCTCAAACTATGGCCCACTGGCCACATGCCGCCTGCTTAGGACATTTATCCAGCCCTCCGGGTGTTTTTGCTGCTGCTGCCTGTCCTGCTTAGCAGCCGACTCATCCCGGCCCCACAGTGCGCTCTCTCTCCAACGGTCTGAGGGACAGTGAACTGGCCCCCTGTTTGAAAAGTTTGAGGACCCCTGCCTTAAAGTTTTCCTTAGAATAAAAAAAAATTACTAATTCCCCCCTACTCCGAATGTCTGAGGGTCAATCATGATATAACATAAAGTACAGGAAACTGGTAGAGTCAGCTTCGCACATGTAGGAGAAAAACAAATGGCTTCTCATTACTACCTGAGAGGACTTGACCAAAACTGGCTGAACTACAGAAAATTTGATTTAGTTTTATTTTTTTCCCGTTTGGTTTGCAGAGAGTAGAGTTTTAAGACAACTGGTTGTTCAGGTGAAGTCCTGTTTTTAACAGAAGATAAGAATAAAAGTTGCAGGTACGTAAGCAACCGTATGATGTGTGATAAACATAAGCTAACAGTGCTTGCTCTGGATGTCAAAGCTGTATCTCATCTGTGTGTGTCAAAGCCACTGACATCGGTTGTCTGCAGGACAGGCTGTCCCGTAGTCATGACAGCGAGAACATTGGCCAATGAGAACCGGTCAAGTTCCTGTTCCAGTGAAATTTAATATAAGGGCATGTCAGGGGACATACAGGGACAGCCTCACTTTTTGGGTTTTCATATTTTAGAGAAATGGCAGAGCTAAAAGTGTGAGAAACACGGATAGAGACTTTACGATTTTCATCCATTATCTCAAGCTGTTTTCTTTCCCCAAAGTGAGGATGAGAATTGGGCACCGAGTGTCCTGTGGTTTTCAGCGATGTCCTACCAGCTTTTCTCCAAAGCTGGAAAAACTGAGGACTATAAGGTAGACGCTGGCAAACTGGTGGAAACCAGAAGAAGTTATTCAACTCTTTTCATGTCAGGTGGGAGGTGAGTGGGGCCATTTGTCCCTGGTTTCCTGCCCACCTAACCTCCGCAAGCTACTTTGGTGGGCTGTGGCTCTTTGGGCTGGGTAACGGAGGGGTAAGGAGTGCTCAGGAGCTCCCGGCTGGGTTCCACACTGGACAGCAAGAGCGGAAGGCGTTTGCTCTCTTTGCACCTGCGGGACTATTCTGCTCAGGTGTTGCCACAGTAAAGGCATCTCTCTGTCAAAGGTCACGATGCCATCGTGGTGGGGGTAAAAAGTCAGACCTGGCTTCAAACACTGGCTCCTACCATCCACTAGCTCTATGAACTCACTTATTTAAATTTGTTGGCCTCAGTTTCAACTGTAAAATGTGGATAGTAATATCTACTTCACGGAGAAGGTGTATGAATGATATGGTAAAAATTCTAATACATAGTAGGTATTCAAAAAATTTCCATCTTCTTCCTAGTGGTGTTCTGTGGATAAATAGATAAGGGTCGTCAAAGATGTCATGATTTAAACAATTAGCAAATGCCTTAATCCGAGTGATGAGTTTACAGCCAGCTGAGAGGCAGAACAGAAACCAATGACTTTGCCAGGCTAGCTTTTGTGAAATCCTTAACGTCATTTTGGGTGCCACCTCGGCCAAATATACACATGTATTCATTTGTTTAACAGGTATGTATTGTCAGAAAAGCAAAGGCCAGTCAGAGCACACAGGTAGGGATTATTCTCTCTTGAAAATCTACCTTCATTGGCCAGGGGAGAGCCCCAGGGTAGCACGTGTCTGTTGCAGCGGTTCTGCAAACACTTCACTAGTGGAGCGGTGAGCATGGTTCTTGGATTCATCCAGGAGAGAGAAGAAATTACTCATATAACTGGGTAGCCTTAGTCTTCAAATGCCCAGAAAAGGGAGGCCATTAATCTGCCATGTAGGCTGGGCACGGTGGCTCACGCCTGTAATCCTAGCACTCTGGGAGGCTAAGGCTGGCAGATTGCTCGAGGTCAGGAGTTCAAAACCAGCCTGAGCGAGACCCCGTCTCTACTATAAATAGAAATTAATTGGCCAACTAATATATATAGAAAAACTTAGCCGGGCATGGTGGTGCATGCCTGTAGTCCCAGCTACTCGGGAGGCTGAGGCAGTAGGATTGCTTGAGCCCAGGAGTTTGAGGTTGCTGTGAGCTAGGCTGATGCCACGGCACTCATTCTAGCCTAGGCAACAAAGCGAGACTCTGTCTCAAAAAAACCAAAAACCAAACCAAAACGAAAAAATGTGCCATGTAAATACAACAGGCCCAGTGTTGGGTAGGGCCTTGGGAGAGGTGGGACCATAGATATTCTTATATGCTTCTGGAAAGAGTACACTGTACAGTATTTTTAGGTAGCAGTTTGGAAATAGGTATTGTAATTTTAAACACAGACTAATATATAAACATAGTTAAATAAATAAAAATAAAGCCACATCCTCAAAACAAAAACAAGGCCAGGCACAGTGGCTCATGCCTAAAATCCTAGCACTTTAGGAGGCCGAGGTGGGAGGATCGCTGGAGCTCAGGAGTTTGAAACCCCATCTTTACTAAAAATAGAAAAATTAGCCACTGTCGTGGTGCACACCTGTAGTCCCAACTACTCAGGAGGATCACTTTAGCCCAGGAGTTTGAGGTTGCTGTGATCTATGATCATGCCATTGCACTCTAGCCAGAGTGACAGAGCGAGACTCTGTCTCAAAACAAAAAATCTTCAACCTGCATATTTTAAAATGT